GACTCTGTGGACGGGATGGTTTACGTGGTGTCCTCTCACTTGACGGTTACCAAACTTACACAAGGGTCACAATGGGTTGAAATGCATGTTGCTCATGATTATTTATAGCCGCCACCTCCTGGGAATCTGTACGGATCTACGGATGTACTACTGCGAGCGCGGAATCGTCGGTATGAGCAGCAGCCTCTTCCAGTGTGCTTCTGGGAAAGTTAGTGGCGAATGTACACACAGCGCATCTGACCAAGAGATCAAATTCCGCAATCCTTCGTCTTCATGCTATATAGGTGGAATAAATCAGGCTTAGAGTTGGCGCTTCAAAAGACCAATGCAGTGTTGCTTGGTAATAGGAAGTTAGTGGAAGTAGAAAAGACCCCTCCCCGACCTCGTCAACTAAACAGCTTCGACTCACCTTTGTAAAAGTTCGGCTGCCGCTGTGTTACGATGGCATTAATTCACCCACCTGAGAGCCAGAGTGTTGGGGATCCCCAAGGATTCCAATAACGTTCCAAATTTCGGACTACCGTAGTCTTGTGGAGAAAAATTGCAGAAAATATTTATGACCGCTATGCCTGACCTCGTGCTAAAAAACAAATTTAAAACACAACCTGCTGAAAGCCAAATCAGCAACAGTTAACAATACAATGCTGCACAACTCTTTACTTTACATGCAAAGTCGTCAGTTAGACTAGGTGTGAGCTGTAGTACTTTAAGGGCCGGTTGTTCAATGTCTGATTAGCACAAATCGGAGGTAGAAGCTCCGGTTAAGTACAACGGCTGCTTTATCGATCACATGTTACATGCATCATGTCGAAATCGTCGATAGTGTAGTGGTAGTGATAACCAGACATTGAACAACCGGCCCTAAGTCACACAACCAATCGCTTTAACAGCCGAAAAGGTGCTGTACAGCTTGGCACATGTCACATGTCATACGTTGTTGTCTACATACGCGTATACGAAATAGTAAATAAGTATGTAAGTATGTAGTTACATATAAATTTCTTAAGCAATAAAAGTTCAGTATGTACTACGTACTTGCGATCCCTTTGCTCTCGACTACCTGCTCTACTTCCCGTATCGATTGCGATTCTAATCTAATTTTATTGATATTGACACAATTTCGCAGATTTCCGGATAAACATAAAAATAACTGAAATGGCATACGAAAATTGGAAAACAGGAAGATGAGTAGAGGAAGCAGCATGATGTAAAAATACAATTGTTTGTAGTACTTATTTATGCAAGTAGTTATGTGTGTATGTAAATTAGTACTAAAACAATGACGAAACGTGAAAATTGCCAAATAAACATAGAATCGCTTACAGCTAGGGTTATCATACTGTATACCAGGGGCGCACCCAGGAATATATTTTGGGAGGGGTTTATACTTCTGAAAATTTGCTTCAAATAAAATGATCATTAAAGTACATTTATGCAAGTTTTATGTACAGTATGTAACAAATAAATAAACTTTTTGAAGTTTCATAAATTGCATTTATTTACATAAAATTAGCAAAAAACTTAAACATTTGTAACCGACTTCAAAAAAGGGGTAGGTTATCAATTCGTCGGAATAGTATGCTAACGCATAACTTTGGACCACGTGAACCGATTTCAATACTTTTTTTATCGGAAAGATGGTACCTCAAGGGTCTTCCCGTAATTTGAAATTACTTGTTTAATATAAAGTTCTATAAACATAAGATGCGCTCAACTTGCAAAAGTAATAAAAAAATTAAAAAAAAAGAGTTTTAATGTTCATTTTCCTCGATATCTGGTTTCTGGTTTTCGAATGAGATGGTGATTTTTTACGATTGCCTAATTTGTTTAATATTTCGAATACCGAGAAAATTAAATGAATTGAATTTTTGTTATGTAGGCAATTTTTGGTGGAACGAATTCGAAGTGGGCAAATTAAATCTTCGAATCCTTGTTATCGTTGTAAACTCTTTTAGGCTCAGTAAGTGAGTATGCATTGCATATTTTTAGGTTTCATTCGCAGTTAAACTTTTAAGAGCTCTCAAAAAAAAGAAAAATTCATATAAAATGGCGCACAAGAAATGGAATAGCAATTTTCTTCTATCAAAATCTCTTAAATCAATTTGCATCTCTCAAGAAAAAAATGCTCGCATATTTATTTCTTCAAGAAAATTTACAGCAAAAGCAAAGTGCTTTATAATAAAAAATAATTCTTGTGATTTTTCTTGAGAGCTGGCTTTAGGATACAGTTTGTATTTCAGGTTATTAGCTTTAGGGGGGGTTTTAACCCCAAAACCCACCCCTTGTGTGCGCTAATGCTGTATACATTTGTAGGTAAGTATTTATGTGCAAGTATAAACGTGGAACTTTTAGAGAAAGTAGCACGCGTTAGATACAATAAATATTTGATAAAAACTTAAAGCCCTAGTAGTTTTATGTGTGTTTTTGGATTCTGCTAAAAAATCTTACCCGTGAAGCCACTCAAAATAAATTTTTACAATGGCTCACAGAATCAATTCATGGCAAACAGATTTTGAGAGTTAATGCTACTTGCCAATCAAGTCATTCAAAATATGTACATATATATATCCCATCACCAAAATATTTGCTGTTACTACAAAAAAAAAATAAATAAATGATTTTAAACAAACGTTAGCTATCGGGGAACCAATTCTGTATCCATTTGCTACTTATGTATGTACGCAGAGAAATTGATTAACTATCTTTGAGCCCGTGGTCTTTATTCTTTCAGCACTAAAATCAATATTTTTATCGGAAATCTTATGAAAAATGCTCTCTAAAGCAGGCGGGGGAAACTAAAATTTAGCCACTCTAGTAAAAGCTATGAAAATTTGAATATCCCTTGCGCAATAGAAATGGAAAATGGTGTTGACTTTTGGCAAGTTTTTTTTTTTGTTAACCGTGCTGCGTATTTTTTTACATACAAAATTTTTTTCGGGCCCATAGAAGAAAATACATGACGCCGTCAAGAAAAAAATTTTAAAACGCCAACGGTAGTTTTTGGCCACTTTAAACTTGCACTTTATTGCACTAAAATTGCATGGGCTACAAAATTGCATAACCGAAATTTTTCTGGGAATATTATTATCTCATTCACTGCAGGTCATTATGATAGCCATTAGCATGCCTTTTTTTCGCATTAGTTTTATTTATATAAAATTTAAAAATCGGATTTACACGTTAAATATGCTATATTTTTAAGTAAAAAACAAAACCGACTTCAATTCTCGTATACAAATTTAAGAGTGCCGTTATTTTCTTCGTGCTCCAATATTCGGATCGAAACCAAATTGGTATGGTACCACCTTTCGAAATCTATTAACGTGGTCCAAAGTTATGCGGTTACATACATAAAAAAATATATATTCCGACGAATTGATAACCTCCCCCTGTAACTGTAAATAACTACTAAGGATTCATGGGGTGCGTTATTCAAATGACGTTGAGTATACATAGGTCTTCAAAGGTAAAAGCTACCTCACCTGCAAACCACACTGATGACCAGCGAGCTATCGAAAGTGATATGTCCGAGTTCCTGACTGAAAATGAACGGAAAGTGGGAGATATAGAATGCAAAGTTCTCTGATTTTATTAATTCCATTTTGTTAGACCGAGCCACAGCAAGGCCTGGCCGAATAATTCTAGTAAAGCACTAAAAAATGGACAATATATGTAAATACTGGACTGAAGTTCGTGCTACAAAAACACGCGCCAAAAAATCATCTATCATTTAAAAAAATATTATAGTATTCTGGTCAAATCATTTAATCACTTCTCCGACAATTAATTTAATACATGTATCTATGCATATAAATATTTCGGTTTTCCCTTTCAAAACTTACTTCACACACTTTAACAGGTACTATTGTCAGCAGGCATTGTTAAACACAGCCAAATACTGCAAATATTGCAATCAGTTAAACTGCTTTCGTTCCGGTTTATAAAAATTTATTGCGCAATTTAGTTACTCATACGCCATGTCGTTTTTCCATGCTATGTAGAAGGCAACCAAGAAGGAATATTAAAACGAAAAAATCACAAAAGGCACAGAAGTATTCAAATAAAACTACGAAAAAAGCAATACCACGCCGAAGTCGCCTAATTGTTTGTACGTGCGTTCATTTGCGCCTAACTTCCATTAGCCATTGATATCTTTGTTTTTTTTTTTTCGTAATCGCTGTAGGAAACTGTGAAGCTATTTCCGTTGCTTTCATTTTCGTTTCATAATTAATGGCATTCAATTAGGCGTTAATTGTTCTGGTCACATTGGGGGGGGTGGCTATTACGAAAATTTGGTAGGTTCGATGGCTTTTACGCACAATAAACAAGTAAACAAATTAAAATGTTAGTATTTTGTCGGTTAGACACTCTTAGCGAAGCACTTTATTGTTGAGTATTTTTGGCGCACTTCCAGTTGAAGTAATCAAAACAAACAATCGAATAATAAATACAAATATGGCTTGGCGTTGCAATTCTCCGCCCAACCTCACCGCCACCGCACTCATGCTCAATCAACTTTCAATCCTGTTTGCTTTGCAATCCAATCTAGATATGAAGTTATACGCGTATATACCGAAGGGAAACCAATTTCACAGCCGCCAGCGCTGCCAAAGGCGGTCAAGCCAACCAAATAGCTTTTATTGCGATAGTAATAGGTTAGTGGTCCACCAGAGTCACCATCACAGCTGCCACGTCCACCAGCACCACTCGCACAAATGTGATTAAGGCTACGCACCAAACCAGGCAGATAATAGCAGGCGCATTCTCTTTGCGGCATCACCGGCGCATCCACATAGTATAACAACAAATTGAATTCCATTTTTTCACTATCCCCATCGCTGGTTAGTCCCCAACCGGATGTGGTGACAATTTCACCCTCCAACACGGACTGTGTCATAAAGCTACGCGCTAGCGGTATTGCTTGTACAGCCGCGGAGAACGTAGTTGGCATGGGTAGGCGTACGAGGCCGATGTCATCACGCCCACCACGCAGCGTATACTTTTCATAGACGACGAAGTCACTTGCACTCACATTATAAACAGCCGCCGACGTTGTGGGATTGGCAAATTCTGTCGAGCCCAGAAAAACTTTGCCACGCGTGGAGCTAAATATTTGAAGGAAATTATACATTTTTTTATTTATTTATTGCACACAACTCGGCATTTGTGCTTGTGTTCGCCTTACTTATAAATGCAATGCGCCGCAGTAAGCACATAGCTCACTGATATCAAGACACCGCCGCATTGATAGATTTTAGGAGCGCGCAGCAGCAACAGACCCACCTGATAGGGAAACATGTTGGGCGCAGCTAGATCGCCACCTGTGATGCGTGTATCTATTGGACGACTTATGTTATACTGCGAGCATTGCTTATCCCAAACCAGCCAGGCAAGATCCCAGTACCAAAAATCAAAATCACCAGCGCCAAAGTAATTCCTATGCTGTTCTTGCATTGCTGAAACATCTGAGTTTGTAGTGGTAATGAGACTAGAAATGAATGTGACTAGCGCCAGCGAAAAAGGTGGCATGCTGAGAGAATACTTGTTTTACAATGGGAACCTGAGTAAGTCGCGCGTAGGTTTTTTATACTAGATGAGAAGAAGCAATTTAAGTAATAAATGTTGAGGTAATTAAGGGAAGCAAGATTATTAACAAGATTAATTGTGTGCGCTACAGGCCACTCACACTAAGTATAAGTAGACATTGCCACAATTCACTACGCCGTCAAGCAAAGAAGCACTGACTTCTCCTTTAACCCGGCGTATGGGCACTCAACAATCGGTAGAATCTCGGACCCTGTACCAGAGGAACTGCTTACTGTGCTAGGCTCCAATGAATGCCTCTCTGCACACATCCCTCTGAGGAATTATTGGGAGAGTTGAAGCTACTGGACGATGGCTAACAAAGATGAGAATGGATATGTTGTCCAATAGGTGGACAACGAAAGCAAGCGCGCCGACAAAAAAAAAATGGAAGAACCAAGTGCAGAAGGACCCGTGCACACTTGGGATGAACAACTGGTGCAAATCCGCAAAGGAAAGAGGCAACTGGCGAAGCTTTTTGGTCTCGTCCCTAACTGACAAACGGTTGTGGTGCCAAAAAAGAAGATGAAGCTTCTGGATTGGAGATCCAGTACACATATCCACAAACGGGTGCAAATTAAACGAAAGAGTTGCGGAAGTCATTTTGTATCAGCAACTCTCCGTAAAACTCAAGTCAAGGTCCCGGATTTCTGCAGCGTGTTACAAGCAGAGAGGAGGCACAATAAAGTAGGCAGTCAATGGGCTACGTCTAGTAAGTATGTAGGACCAGTTAGAAGTGTACATCCATAAAATAATGGAGCGATCGAAACTACAGCGGAATTATTTTAGCTCCCTCTCCATAGCCTTGTAATTTTTCCAATTAGGCTGATTTGACTCAAGGTACATTGATTTTACATTGTTGATGATGAGTATCATAGGGCAGTATAGTATGCTGTACATAGTTTGGAACGAATTCGAATTTCCACCATTCTGTGCTAATTTCGGTTTGGAGATAAATTGGTTTGGACGTTGTGCTATCCTCATCAGTGTCCTTGCTCGTTTCATTACGGTTGCCCATTTGACAAGATGCGGGATTTTTCTGAACAGAGCGTAATTGTGTCGACTAAGAAAGCACTGGGTGAAAACCTCGACAAGAAAGGTTGCCGGTTTTGTACCATGGATGGTCTAAGTCACTTCTTAAGCTAACCAAGCGTCAGGTCTCCTCGCTTACAGGAGTTTTAAAAAGTCACTCGGAGCTCATGGGAACTCGTTAGTTACAACATCTCCTTTCATTATTTCCGTAGCTTTTTTGAAGATTAAAAAGGTGGAATCAACTCAACACTTTCCCTCAGTAGCACTTCTTTTCGTCCAGAATCTGACCAATGGCGTCCTCAACCTTTGATGAGTACTGAGACATGAGGATTTTTACGGCAACGAATGCCTTACGGAGCTTGTGTGGTCAACAGCCCCTCCGACGGTCGTCAAAAGGATACACTGAATGGCTCCTTACTAAATTGAAAAATTCGCGCAATTGAAAACTAACTCTCCATAGTAGTCACGGAACTACTGCTGAATTTAAGTAGGGAAAACTTGAGGACACACAAGCTTGACAGGTTCTGTAAGAAAGTGGACTCAAGCGGAATCACAACGCAGGCCTGATTGGGGTTGTGGCCGCCGCTTCCCTGGCTAGTCTGGCCGCAATCTCATTATCCTCTATGACTTTTAACCCATATTATATAAATGCTATTTTAGACTGCAAGGGAATAAATATTAAAGATTCTCCTCTTTAGTGGGCTACTGTTGCTTGCTAGTATGTATATATACATATTAGGAGGGGTCAATTTTTTTATTTGACTATGCGCGTATATCATAGGAGGATTCAACGTATAATTCTAAGCAAATTTGTCGAAGAAACCTTGGGTCTAAAATCAATTTATAGTTTGCCAAATTGCGAAAATAGGTTTCGAAGAAATGGTAGAAATTTTCACTTTTGCGCTCTCTGGTGAATATTTTAAGAAAAAGATTAGTACAGAAATAAATTCCTAATACCAAAAAACCCCATGTAGCATATTTTTATAAAAAATGAAAGCACTTCTTTACGACACTACAGTGAAACGTTAAGAAACCTATTTTCGCAATTCGGGAAACTCTAAAATGATTTTACACCCATGGTTTCTTTGGCAAATTTGCTTAGAATTACACGTTGAATCCTCCTATGCTATACGCACATAGTCGAAAAAATCTCCCATACAAATTGACCCGCCCTATCATACATACAATAATACATACTCAAAATCCCCTGCTGACATTTGTAGCTCATCTTGCAGTCGACATGGCCGCCTACCATAAAACATAATTACCAACTGCGTTGCTTAAGCTCTGCTCATATTTTATTCCACTTTATTGATTCTAATGATTATTAAGCATATTCTAAGCTCTCTTTTATAGGTTACTGACAAAACTGCAGCTATTTTATTTTTGCCCTTACTGTCATTTTTATTGTTATTGCTGTTTTAATAGAATCCACTGCCTCATCGACGCTTCAAAGTGGCGCCACACAGTACTATCTAATGTCGGCTTTAATGTGCTTTCGTATACAAGTATACATATATATGTATTTATATAGGTATTTATAATATATATGCACATATAAATTACGAGTTTATATCATTGTGCATCTATACATACATACATATGTATATATAAATGTATGCGCCATCAAAGCATAATTTGCCTGTGAATAGCAACAGCTGCTGGCGACATGCATATCAAATATGTATGCCTCTTTGTTGTTGCTGTGTAGGCTACAAAATAATTTGACACGTTCCAGCGATTTATGAACACACAATGACGCTTTTAATTATGTCACGTGTGAATACAACAACAGAGCACTTACTCTCATACATACACACATTCAATGTAATACAATGTCATCTGTGTGTATGTATGCGGAAGAGGCGCGCTAACTTCGTATAAATTTATAATGAGTACATTTGGCAGTATGCAGAGATAAAATGAATTTTATGTTTTAACTGCTCAAAAATGTTTGAATATTTATAAACAACTTATAAATACATTTGTACTTCTGTTATGCAGAGCTCATTACTGCAACATTAACCTACATACAATGGATGATGTTAAACGCCTTGTCGAAAAGCGCTTAGAATATAAACATTTGGAAATTACAGAATTTAAATTCCTAATTAAATATTTATACGCAGTGAAAATTATCTATAGGCTGATCGGGGAAGATCTAAACTTTATAAAAATTATTTTCCAATGGCAGTCGCTTTTCGGCAGGTGAAGGCCAACTTCCAAGTGTACATATCAATGCCAAAAAAATTAGCTTTTAAATGTTTTAAGTAGAGATGGGCACGCGTCGGGCTTTTGGCAGGGGGCCGGTGGAATCCTATGAAAGCCCGCAGGTACGGGCCGGAAAATTTGACTTCAGCGCGAAAAGCCCGGTGAATTATATGGCAAAAAAAGCATACGTAAAAGCAAAACAGATGTTGAGGTTGAGATATTTTAGCAAGCACTTCACGTCCTGAATTCGGAAGTTTAAGGGATGGTTGTTCAATGTATGTATACCTCCCAGTGAAACATTATTATCGACGTTTTTAACATCATGCATACATATACCACGCGATCGATAAAGCAGTCGTTGTATTTAATCGTAACTTTACTTCTTTTTTCTACTAGCGTGTTTTCGAATATGTATTCTACACCCCTGCCTGGCCGGGCCGGAAAAATTAGGTCCGCGCCCATCTCTAGTTTGAAGTGCCTTCAAGCTCTATCGGAAATGTATAGGAGTGATCGGTTAAACTAAGCTAAAATCTTGTACATCTATGTTCCGGCAGATTAGTTCTTTCTCTCTGAGCTCACGATCATGATCATGGTTTTAGATATGCAAAACCAGATATATTTTAGGTTGGCTATGTTAAGTGAAGCCATTCTAAAAGACTAACCCAATAAGGCTGAAAAATTTCTTCACTGCTGTGATTTCTTATTTAAAATTTTCACGAATGTACTAAAGAATATGTTAACTTTATTTAGCATTACAAATGAAATTCAAAAGGCCTTCTGAAGTACGTCCTACAAAATCTCTTCTGAAACTATCCTCACAAAAAAAGAAATGAGAAAGAAATTACCTTTTGGAAGCTCTTCTTTTTAGCTCTTCAAATTATCTACTGGGTAGTATGTATGACCTCTCCGCCATGTACATGTTCAGGAAGTATATAGAAGAAGTAATGTTTTAATCAAGTGAACCAAGAAGAAGATGGCAAACTTAAGAGGTATTATTCAGCATGTTATGAAAAGTTAAGTTATCAATTTTCGATTACTATTTAATAACAGGACCGCTGTGGTGTTCAAGCCCGGTTCAAGCCAACATCAAAAAATAAAAACCGAAAAAGGTTTGTTTTGAACAGCGGTCACCTCTCGGCAGGGATTTCTGCAATGAAAAACAGCTTCTCATAAAAATACAATCGCCGTTCGGAATCGGCGTATTTAAAACTGTAGGTCACTCCACTTTGTGTAACAGCATCAAGGCGCACGCAACAAATCGGAGGAGAAGCTCGGCCAAACACTAACATATGGTGTAAGCGCTAATCTATTCTTTTTATTAAATAATAACATAAAGCTTAACCTTTTTTCATTGCAAAAATCTGGAAAATATGAAATGGGTGGCGGGCATTGACCTTCATTAAATAAACCAGGACCAGGACACCAGGACAATTTTCGTAAAAACACCTTGAGTTTTCTGAAATCATGAGCTCAAAAGCTCTCTGAGTGTTATTACAACGCCTGCCAACAATTTCTTTCAACATCCTTATATATTTTTTTCGCTCTCCTATGAATAGATATTTTACCAATAAACTAAAATATTTAACCAAAATCCAGTTACGTACATTCTTTTGTAGCAACAACTGTTTTTTTGGTTACACCGACTTTAGCGAAAAACTAAAACTCGACGCGAGGCGTTCTTACAACAAACATTCAGTCTGTACTCTTATCC